CCAAAAAAGTTGTCTATGATCTTGGAAATTCCTTCAGCAAGTGCTTAGCTTTCATACTTGTTGACATGTTGCAGCTTTTTGGACCTCTTGCTATCCCTCCCATGTGAGCCAAACTACCAGCCCAGGCCATTTCAAGGATGATATCCACAATCGGAATGAAGGTTTGCTGTGACTCCTGTAGAGTGGTGCTAGGACATATATATATATACATAAACCTCACTATGGAACTCTCACTTTTGACAAATATACATATAATATACTTTAAACCTCACAAATCTCATGAATAGACCTTGTGGCATAAAGGCTTTACACTTCAAAAACAAAGTCATGGAAGTGGATGGCACCACCTGTTTGCCATTTTCCACTTCCATTATGATTTCAGGGAGTCTTAGCCTTGCTGTCTCCTCCCTCTCACCACGTGGGGGCCGAGGGAGATGCAGATCAGCTTCAAAAGGTTTGAGACCTATTTTTCAGTCAAAACACTACATCTCCAGAGACGACCACTTTCTCAATATTATTCTATACATGTATACTGTATATTACTGTATGGTATATGCGGTATATATATATATATTTATTGCAACCACTGCAGGTGTGCACAGGCCAGTGAGATCAGCATAAACACCTATGTCATCAAGATCATATAGTTTATTACGTGCCACAACTCCTATCTCATCAGGCCAAAACCGACAAACAAGACATAAAAAAGACCCTGGCACGCACATGTATCTTGTTTCATCAATGTTCGAGATTTCATGGTTGCAGGAGGTATATTTGATATCAAACCACACGTGACAGAGGTTTTTGTATGGATTATGTCACCAACATAGCATGCGGCAAGTAGTGGATGAGATAGGAATGCGGTTGGTCATGCCATGAAGCTTTCATCAACCATGTTTTCTTGGGCACGGTATTTTTGCTGATGCTTTGAACGTTATGTGCTGGCAGAACGTCCACGCAATTCCTATGTCATCCTGTTGTGTAATGCATTTGCCATCCCAACCTTGTCTACTGATGACTTAGTCGTTGTGGCCCACTTTGCCCAACCATTACAATGTCATCAGCCCTACAATAAGCGATTCCAAATAATTAAGTTAGACGTTGCTAACCCCAAGAGGAGTCCCAAGAGAGGGTCTTGCATGGGTTCCCATCCCACGCCCCGCTTGGCTTCCCAGGCCCCGCTTGGGTTCTGAAACCTACGAGCGCAGCTGAAAAGATGCAAGTCTTGTCGCAGATCGCGGTGTTGATTTTGGAAGAAGGATCCCCTACAACATATACTTTTAATGTCCGTTTCTCATTTGTTGTACGGTTGAATTTTCCCTGCGGTATTTGGAGAACCCATATGGACTTTGTGCTTTTGGCTCGTGAGCCACCAGCGCTCGAGAAGGAAGAATCTGCAGCGCTTTGTTTTTCTTGCACTTCCATGTCCTTCATGTTATTGGGCAAAGATTGCGAGTGGCCGAGTGGCAACTGCTCACGATTCGAACGGGTGGAGTGACTAACGATGCCCATTGCTCCTAGTATCCTAGTAGCTTCTTGTTCCTAGTAGCGATGCCAGGAGCCCCTAGTACAATCCTTGCTCCTAGTAGCGATGCCCTTTGCTCCTAGTCACTGGAAAGATACAGAGATTTCATGTGATAGGAAGCATCTATATAGTATACAGTATGCATCGATCTTGAAGACCCCACATACCTGGTCGCTTTCGGCTCAAGCCACCGGCTCCAGCTCATTGTCATGACGCGATGGTTGGAGATCACGGTGAAAGAAGCAGTCGGTTTGGCCGGTGATGGTCGACACTGCGTGGAATTCTGGCTCGATGGGCATTCTCCAGAGCGCACGGAATGGGTGGATGGAGATGAAGGACAAAACAAGAACTTTGCGGCGGACGAGTTGCCCACGCGGTGTGCCAAGAGGACCATCGTTTTGAGAAAAGACTATGATTACGAGCTAGCGTCCTTGCATGTGATCGCCTATCATCAGAGGACTTGGAATGATAAGAAGGTTGGGGAAGCGCACATGCCTTTCTCTGACCTCTATCATGGTATTGATGAATGGCTGCCCCTAGAGCTGGATTCCAAGTATGTGGGCAAGATATACTTCCAGGCACGCTTGAAGAAGATGAAATCCAAAGTGAAGAAGAGCGAAAAGCCAAAGCCTCCAGTACAGTGGCGATCTCCCTCCAGCTATCCTCAGCTGCATCCTGGACTGGAAGGGCACCTCTACAGTCGATCAAGCAGAATGGGAGTGGCTAGATGGCGACATCCGGAGATAGTGGTGGGCACCAGGCCATGGTACGAGGCCAACGGCATGAGCTTCAAGCGACATGCCTTGGATGCTAAGAGACATGACTGGATGCCGCATGCTCAAGGGGCTGTCCACTCGAACATCTCCGGCACTGGAGTACCTCGCTGGCCGGCACCCAAAAAACGTCCAAGTCAGAGTACATTCACATCAAAGGCCTCTTTGTTTATGTCCAAGGGGACCTCACATTCCGGCATTTCAAGAAAAGAAGATTTGCTGAAATTTAGAGGGAGCCAGAGCCTTCCAAGTCTTGACATTGGTCAGCATCCTTATCCACCATCTCCGGCCTTCATTCGGGATTTCATGCGACGACTTGGAGAGAAAGAGGCAGAGATTCGCACTAAGCAGCAAGCTACTTCGTGACCTTGAAACCTAAAGGGATTCAAGCCAGTCTCACCTGCAGCGGCCATCGCAATTCGCGGCCAAAACCAAAGCGACAAGCACCAAAGGAAGGTGCCTGGATGTTGAGGAAGATGATGGAAGGTGGGAAGGGAGAGGCATGGAGAGGTGCAATGTCGGAAGATGGGAGATGAGGGGCTGCCGCTGGCGACTTCACTGGCCCCCAGTTCCCCAGAGTTCAACATGTGTTGCAAAAGAGCTTTTGTCAGCCATTTCAGGGATCCCAAGTTGGAAGTCAAGGTCAAGGTGAGTACTGCAGGTGGTGTCAGGTATATATATAATGTTCAGTGGCATGTTCACTGGGGAGATTACTGTATTGATTGCCATGAGTTTCTTTTCCATGCCAAATCCTGCACAAGTTGATAACAAAGTTCTCCAGGCCTGCATGTAGCTGCAAACAATAAGCCCATACAGGATGCTGTCGGTCGAGGGAGGTGGGATGGTGGGATGAATCAGGTGGTTTTGATGTGGTTCCAGCCTGCCGCTACATCTGCAAGCGCCAATGCGGCTTAGTTTGCCTGACTGACTTCATTGTCAAAAAGAACAGCAAGCCACAAACAAGTAAACATAGCTTAACAACCTTAGGTCAATGGGGCACTTGGGGCCATGCCTGCGACCAACTTTCAGCATTGAACATCATTGAAAGCATCGACTCTTGCTTCCGGACTTCTTCCTTCGGTCGCAGGCCATTCCGACGATCGCTGAGATCCACCGAGCTCCAATGCGATTCGCCCTGCCACGCCCTCCGTGCCCGTGGCGGCGAGGGCGAGGAGAACGACTCGCCGCTTCGCGCGTGACACCGGAGCGCTTCGCGCGGGAGAAGGCCGAGCTTCTGAGCCGAAGAGACAAGTCGTCCAAGGGAGACTGGGATGCTCGGAAGCTCGGAGCACGGGAAGGCTCGGGGTGAAGAGCGCAAAGAGTGGGTGACTGGGTGAGGTAGAGACGTTCCAGAGAGGTGGATTTGCGGCACGGCAGGTGGATTCTTTGCGGGCGGGGGCGGCGGGTGGGGGATTTTGCCATTCGGAGACCTGACTGTTTTGCGGAAACTCAATTTGCTCCCACCAATCTGTGCGACAAAAGAGCACTGTTACCGTTGGGAGCCTCCGTTGGGAGCGGATAGCGGTTCCACCGTTCTGTCTCTCCCCGTGAGAACCTTTAGAGTCTAGAGTGTCCACAGCGTGAACCCACAAGCAGATGAGCCCATTCACCTTTGCAGTCTTCGCAAGATGTCATTGGGTTGGGAGGCGCGGATAAAGATGGGAGTTGGGCTGCTGGAAGTCTTAGCTTTTGCCCGTTGGGCTGCTGGAAGTCTTAGCTTTTGCCCGTTGCACTCTGAAGTGGATGGGAGTTGGGTTGCTGGAAGTCTTAGTTTTTGATTGATTGCATGTTGCACTCTGAAGTGGCTGAACTTTGCAGATGGCGATGGAGAGAGAGACTCTGAAGTGGATGGGAGTTGGGTTGCTGGAAGTCTTAGTTTTTGCCTGTTGCACTCTGAAGTGGATGGGAGTTGGGTTGCTGGAAGTCTTAGTTTTTGCCTGTTGCACTCTGAAGTGGATGGGAGTTGGCTTGCTGGAAATCATTGATTTTGCCTGTTGCACACTGAAGCGGATGGGAGTTGGGTTGTTGTTCTTTTTGATTGCGTTTGTGGCACTTGCTTCAGAGTGGTGTCACCCGGATGTGAGGCTCCGTCCCTTTAGGGCGGCGGGGGGGGGAGCTTCCTTGAAGAAGCGTGAGCTATCCTGCGTCCAAGGTAGTAGCGTCCTGTACCTACTGTACGTAGAAGCCTACTTGTAGGTACCAAGCTACCTAGCTAACCCACCTCACCTCTACTAGCGGCCTACCCAACCCCCCAAAAAAAGAAGAGAAAACTAACATTATACAACTACTAGTACTTTCTCGTTACTAGCAGTACAGCCAGGAGCCTCTAGTAGCAATGCCCCCTCTCACATAAGCTGGTCTTGGCCGATTGAAGTCGTGGGCCTTGCGCACTCAGGATTGTACCCTTGCTGAACGTCATCAACAGCCATGAGGAGCACCTCAGATGTCCTAGGTCAAGTGGTTTGCATCATCCAGCACCTTCCAAGAGGTCACCAATGGACTACCCCCACTCCACCACCAATAGGCATGCTGAGTCCTGAGTCACCTTGATTCGTTCCTGCGGCGTGATTCTGGGGGGGGCAACCGGAACTCAAATAACCCACCCCCAAGAACGGAGTTGAGCTTTCTTGGAGGGATTGAGTTCTTTTGAATGCGCGATCCGAAGAACTAAGCCATGGCCATGGCGTTCATAGCCCCCAGCCATGGCGGAGACATCGCATCGGACCAGGTATTGCAGTTTGAGCTCCTGCAGTGGGCGAGCCTTCCTTTGGCGACCTGATGAGGAGGGTTTGGTGCCCAAGAAGCCGCGAGTCTCGGAAAGCTGGCGTCTCCTGGCAGCGAAAGGAGGTGCGAAAGCTGGTGTCTTTGGTTCAAAAATCGATCTTGGTAGAGTGGTGCTGAGCTGGGCATGCGTGGTTTTGACTTTGTTGTTCATGTGACCTAAACAAGAGGGTTGAAGAAAGAATCATCCTTTGAACAAGGCATGGGACGTCGATGTGTTTCACATGGCATATCATGGCATGATTTTGTCGGGAGCACTTGTTGGTGATGGTTTATTTGTGTGTTCCTTTTGTTCCCAGGTTGCTTTTCTCAGTACATCCAAGGATTTCACATTTGCCACGCCTTTGAGGACTGGAGAGGGGGTGCCTTTAAACCTTTTGCAGAGCTATATAGATTGTCATTAGCAAGCTTATATAAGTTTCATTGTGAAATTGCTATGTGGCCGTTTTGTTCTCAACATGGTTACCCCTGGTTAAGACAAATATTTCCACAAACATGTCTTGTAGCTGCATTGGCCATGGCTGGGAGCCTTAAAACCCCCTTCAATACATGCATGTATTGGGTCACAGGTTGCCGAAAGCTGTTGGCCATGGCTTCTCGTTCTCATCCAGCTGCAATCCTCTCCGACTGGTTCAGATCGTGAAGGGGTCGAGCGGTCTTGGCTGTCCTCCAATTTGCCAAGTTAGATGATGTTAATTAGATGAAAGGGCATGAGGTGTTTTTTTCCTGCAAGCTTTGGTGTTGCTGCCTGCCTTCATCTTGTCAGAATTTCTTCCCCCAAACGTTAATTTGATGGTGATGTTCAATTGCAATTTGGATCTTTTCTTTTCGCGTTCTTTCAGCCAGCCCGGGTCTCCCTGTACGACTTCTCAGGACTGGGACCCCGAGAGTGCATTGGTGGGCATGGAAGAAACAATTTGGGCGCGCCCCTTGGAGTTTGAAAAGCGAGTCGTACCTTAAACTGGGTGGTGGTTTCAGATATTCTTATGTTCAACCTTTATGTATTCTTATTTGGGATGACTGAGCCCACATGTTGACAGTAAGTTGAAACCGTTGAAAGCAATTAACTGTGTGTTTTTGAACATCTTACTTTCGTGAGGTGCTTTTGGATGCTTTTGGCCATACCTGATGGGTTTCGGACTGTTTACCGACTTGTCTCGCCTCCCGAGCCTCAGCTCGCTCAGAACAGGTTTTGAGCCCTTGGTGCTTCACGTGGCCTGCCGTAGCTTGCCCGAAGCCTGCCAGTTGGTGGCCCAAGCACAGCTAGCCTTCCCGAAGAGTTCCTTGTTGTCCTTCCGGAAGCGTGCCTCGAAGAAAAATGACACCAAACAAGCAAACGCGGCACCCAAACGCCAGGTGTTTCCAGTCGGTGACCCGTTGGGAGGCCACATGGTCGGCTGGTTCATTGGATGCGTCGGTTTCTCGTGGCATTCGACCGGCTTCTGTGACTGGAGCAAGGTTTCGTTGTGCAGATCTTGGGGGAAGATTACGTGGAGCCTTGGCCATTTTCGCGGGAGGTTGTGGGGTGAGGAGAAGGCAATGGAAGGCGGCCTAACCGCAGGACTTCTTCGAGCAGACTTGGAGGCAGTTGTTGTTCGGGCTGTCGGGTGCTTTTGGGGCAAGCCCTCTCATGTGGTTTCCAAGCCACCCATCATGCCCGTCTCATTGTGCACCGGCTTTCAACACCCACAAATGTGGACTAGAATCATGTCATGTTTGTGTGCGGTATTGAGTTCCATAAAGAGCATCTTTCATTGATGAGTTGGCTGAATTGGGATATGAAATATGCTCAAAACATCTCAAAACCAAACCCCAAGCTTCGTTCGACTCAACAGACGTACAGTACCCACATTTGGAAACTGGGGCGGTTAGTTTTAGAGCTTGTGAAGGTTCATTTGTTCAAGTTTCCTGTACAACTTGTTATAGTAGAATTACATAGAATTACTCAACGATCTTTCAAGACTGTGGCGCCGGAAGATTTTAGCATGTTAGGGGTTTTGATATTTAGTGCATTTTTGTGCTAATTGTTTCTTCACGAGGCTGCATGTGCTTGCAAACTTGAACCGAAATTAGATCTTGGTTTTGGCCCTGACGATTGGTGGAATCTAAGGATCTCCCATATCTTTTTCGCGAACATCAATTGAATCCTTTGGATCGTCAAGGTTTCGCGAAATATGTAGCCAATATCATCGGGAATAAATTTACAAAGAATAATCTTCGAATCGAATCCTTTGAATCTATTTTGAATAAAAATAAGACTAATTAATTACATATATTAAATATGATTTAATATATTTTTTTTTGTTTAGTATAAATCATAATAAAGATATATAAATTATTGATAATAGAAAGGTAATAATTTAATTGAATACGAAAAGATTAATGGAATATGGATAAGGATATTTTCCTTTGATTTTATATTTATTATATGTATTTTAGATATAATTTCGATTTATAAATTTGAATTTTGGAAATCTAGATAATTGAATTAGGAATATATTATTGGTAATATTTTATTTCGTATATTTTAGTCGAAGAATAATATAATGGAAATAAAATAAAAGAAAGATATATGGAGTCCGGCTAAATATTTATAATAAAAAGAAATAAATAAAGGGATTGAAAATAATTTATGATATTGTATTTTTTAAAATAGAAATTCGAATTTATAGCCGTCTTTTAAATAAATTTATTTGTTTTGTAGTTGGGTATTAGGATTGTAATATATTTATATTAATGATGTTAATATTTGTTTTAGGGTATATTTAAATTTTGAGTTTGTCTTGCGAAATAAGTGTTGGCGTATTCGGATCGAATAATTGATCGTTTAATTTTTTTTTTTTTCCCCCCTCCCCCCTATCATCTCGTTGGAATTGATTTTTTAATAAAGCTTTCCTCCTTATCGTTTTATTGGAATTGATTTTTTAATTTAGATTCTTCTTTCTTTCCTTTTAATATAGATCCTTCCTTTTCTCCCTTATTAAATTTAATTCTTTCTTGAAGAACGTTTTCATGAACCTCTTATTATTTTACGATAATGGAACCTTTTTGATGCTAAATTTTAGGTTGTCGCCGTGTTAATTGCTTTTGGCGTGCGCTGGACATTTAAGTTTTTTTTTTTTTTGGGCAAGTCTGCTGGATGGATAGATTTAGGTGTCTGAGCTTGACTAGGGCCTAGGGCTTTATTGTTGAACCGCTTGTGCGTTAGCTGTGCCTTTGCCTTGTGAGGGTGGAAGACTATAGTATCGTTAGTAGCGGCGTTGGCCAGTGTCACTTGGTGTTGAGCCTGTTGAGGTCCGGTAGTGCCTATTGCAATCGGGCGCTTGCTGTTGAGGTTTCGATCTGGAGCTTGCTTTGAGGTCCGGTAGTTCCCATTGCGATCTGGCGCTTGCTGTTTGGTTGTTGAGGTTCTAACCTTGTAATGTGCGCCCACGCCTAGAACAAAAAACACCGGTGCGCCGGTGGATTTCCAAGTTTTATTGCCAGCCACTCCACCCATTTTAAGTTGAAGTTTTGAGAAGCGCTGAAATATTATATGCTTATGAGGAATGAGGGCATAAAGCCAGACCTTGTGGTCATTCTGGGGGAAATTTGGACCGCTTTTTGAATTTTATTCCCACACCCGCTCTACCACAACATTTTTTGTGGGTGTAGCTTAGAATCTTTATGCTAATGAGGGTACTAAGCCAGACCAACTTGTTTTTGCAATGTAAGCCTACGTAGGCATGGGCCTGGAACCGTTGTGTTGCTAAGGCAATAACGCTATCCAAAATATTTTAAAACCAAAGTTATGAGTTATAAGTGTTTGTTTTTTTCGCAGAGGTGGCCCGTAGTAATTGTTTGGTTCCTTTTGACTTCCTACCAAGGGTTGAGTTGAGTGTTGGGATTTGTTTTCGTTTGTGCACTTTTTGTTCACATTCGCACTTATGTACCAACTGGTCACTGTCACACAAAGAACAATTAGAAGGCGTCGTATTCTAAGGTCATGGTATGCGCATATACAAGGATAGTTGATAAAGCGCAGGTCGAGAATTTTGGCGCAGGCGTTTTCATCGTTAGTGTCTGTTGGCACCGTGGTTCAAGGGCAGGCTCTTGCATGCTGCTTCTTGCAGCATACCCTAACGGGGAACGGAAGCGTAGGACAAGTGCAGGTACCAGGGTGCCTCAATGGTTGCCAGAGCCTGGGTAGTTCAGGGAGCGTCTTGAAGCTTGCAATGCACTGAGCGCTTTAAGCGAAGTGCAGTCCTCAGAAGCACGGCGATGTGCGACCGTCAGTCATGCAGGGGCACCGGTGCAAGCCCTTGCTACACTTAAACCTGGTGTGTTGACTCCTTTCAGCGATGAGTCATGGCTTTTATGGCGATACTACGGAAAACCCTGTTCTGCGTACAGTTTGGAGGTAGACAAAGTTTTTCTCTTCAAAGAGCATGTCATTCTGTGGCAGCGACAAGCTTTGGCGGAATCGCGTGATTGCCATCTTGCCACCGCCCCAATCATTTTGCAATATCAGTGCTTCACTCCATCGGTGAGAGTCTTGACTGAAGAACTGTTTTTTCGGGAGCTTGGCAACGAGGGTGATTTGTCTTTGGAATTGCTGTGTGAGAGGTTGGGTTCGCGCCTGGCAGATGTGTTGGAGAGATGCGGTTGGGTTATTCCTGTTCTTTGGGTACCAAAACCCATCATGCTCCTCTTAGTGCAAGGTAAGTGGAAAGCTTTGGTTCTCCATATGATGAACTCTGTTCCAAATAGAGATGCTCCACTTTTCCAGAGACATTGTTTGAATTGGCTGCGAGATTTGATGCAGTATCCATCCAACGGTTGCTTCAGTTGTTTGTGGGGAAACCGTTTTCAGCAATACCGCTCGCCAAACCACCCGCTGACTAGTGCTTGTGCTTTGTTTGCGATGCAACAGCTCCGGGCCCATTCCTCTGCAATCATTGCGGACGGTGGGCCGAGTTCCCAGAGCAGGCTGGAAGAGACTCTTGAAGGCTTGGAAATTTTCACACAAAGCTTAGTTGAAAACCGGCAGGCTGGCAGCCACGTAACCGGACGTAAAGCTGTCGCCTCTCGCATTTTTGATGACATTCGCGCTGCTCACCTTTTGAGAAACCGTGGCCACTTCAAGGCCATGAAGACTGCAATGATGCGAAGCCTGATGCCTCATCAGCTGCAGAGCCTGGCGAAAGCCATGATGTATGACCCATTGTCGGCGCCTTCCCTTTCAAAGTTCCAGGCTCCGAGCCTGAACAAAGCCAAGGTGTTCTTGTTTTCGCTCACGCCATATGTCGCTTTTTGCAAACAAAAACGCGTGAGATTCAGGAAGTAAACGTTGCACTTTGTCTGTGCCCCCCTAACTCCCTAACCCCCATACCATGGGCTTCAACCAGTACAGTGTTGCGTTCCAAAGTTTGTGTGCAAGACATTTCCAAGAACATGACGCTGTTAGGTGTACATGGATTGCACCTTTGCAGTTCTGTTTCGGGATGTGCTGGACAGCAACTTTGGCCCAGTCTATTTGTGGTGCGACTCATCCCCGCAAGCTGGGGTTGATTGGCTACTGAGCATCATTGATTACATTGCCGAAGACCACCTGGAGGAGTGCCATCAGAAGTATCAAGCCCTTTATCGATCCACAAGTCTGATTCAGCAATCCGTTGAGGATGTGAATTTACTTGCCGAGATTGCGGTTAACCGTGCAGATGCAATCAAATTCCTCAGGCAGAAACTGCACAGACATAGGCAAATGCCCATGGGCTTAGGCTCGGGGGCCAGCAAATTAGAGAACAAGTGCCAGGCGCTTGCCATGAAGTTGGCGCATGAGACTCATTCATTCCAAGCTTTGCGACGGGTGGCCAAACAAATAGTGTCTGTCACAGTTGACATGGGTGTGGAGTCAGGCGTTGCGGACGCCCAAGGGGGGGATGTGGTGTCATACTTGCCGCCGTGGATGGCTGCCCAAGATTGTTTGCAAGAGGACGCCGGCTTGGATGCAGTTGAGGTTTCTTCAGACCGTTTATTTCCAAGGTCATTGCTTGCTGCAGGCCTAGACCACATTTCAAACAACTTACTCAGCGACATGGACCAGCACTTGCAATGTTGGGATGGTTGGCTTCCAGGGTTTAAAGCTCTGGCGCACCTTTTGAGCCACAAGCATCTGTTGAGCAGACTAGTTGGTCGATGCATTCTGGGGACTCCACATCAAGCTTTAGCCAGGATGTTTGAAACCTGCATAGAGCCCATTGCCAAGTGGCGGTGGGGAACCATTGTGAAGACTTTGCCTTCAGTACTGAGACTGGAACGAGGTTTGCGGATTGTTTGGGATGAGCAAAAATTCCTTGCTAGAGGTGAAACCATGCAAAGTCAAGGTCAGGATGACTCTTTTGATTGCAGCCTTATCACCAAGACCATCCAAGACAACAGCTGGTGGGCCATGAGCCATATGCTTTTGCATTTGCATTCCATCGGTAATCTTGCTAGCGCTTGGGGAAGCAGTTGTCATTGTCATGAATGGATCACCGAGAAGCCTGAGTCACAGCATTTTGCTATGAGTGAAGCTTTGCATCGCACGCTGGAAACTTTGCGCCTGGAGAAAGGCTTGGACGGTGCGAACGTGGATTGTCCATTGAAAGGCAAACGGGCTCCAGAGCTAGCAGCTGGGATGTTGATGCCGCGCATCAATGAACTTGTAGAGCATTGCACGAGCGACGTGCTGCTTGCTTGCTCATCGGTTTCTGCCGAACAACGGGAGAAGGTTGTCAATGATTTCACCTTGGGGGTTGACTACATACGCATGACCCTCGACGTCAAACTTGGGCATTGGGCAACCTTGCCTTGGCTCCTTGCCGCCTTGTCGCTACCAGAGCCGAGTGTTCAACACAAAGCCATAGCGCAGAGAGCAATTGAGGAGTTTGACAAATTACCTGCGATACCCATTCACCATCATCAGTTGACTTGGCAGATTTTGAACCCGAGTTCTACATTGCGAAGCCAGCTTGAAGCGGTAGCGCAGGGTGCTTTGTTGGCAAGCCTGCCAGGGCTTGCGTCAGAAGTGGCTCGTCTCTCTTTTGTGCCGGTAGTGGAACGGATTGTCGAGGGAGCGCACAGCTTGGTCCACAGACACACTGGGTACAGAAAAATTTCTGGTGCATATGTATCTTGCTCGCACAGACTCCCTGAGATGGAGGCCATCCTTGACACAGATGACGGTCTGGAAAACTTTTGCGCAGCGTTTGAGCAGTTGCGGAAGCCACGGCAGCTAGCCAAAAAGTTCAGGCTTCAAGACCACCCTCTATGGCTGGAACTGACAAGTAAGCCGCCCAAGCAGCAATCCGGAGTGCAGAAGCTTCTCAAGTCAATTGTATATTCCACAGATGCTCATACAATGTATGTTGATCATGCAATGTCACGGAAGCAGCATGACAAACGCCAATGTGCAGCCATCAAAGCAAAACTTGCAGTGAACCCCAAGCCCAAGATTGCGTTGACGCAAGATTCAGTCATGCAACATGCCCTGGTCCAACACGTCCAAGAGATGTTGATCCCCGGAGAGTTCTATTCATTT